GACCAGAGTAGAAGTCATTTTTTGGATAGGCCGCATGAATTCGAAGAACAAAGCGGTCACCGCGCGACGTCGCACGGCAGTGTGCGGCTGTTCGACGTCGTGTAATGACCTCTTTATCCATGTAAATTGGTTCGGGCCCCCACTCTTGCGCTACCGTCGAGACCTATTTGTCGTTTATGCGCCTCGACAGGTCCCCGCGCGAAAGCATTGATATCGATGGTGCGAACATCGCATGCGTAAACGTGCGCGGCATCGCGCAGTTACCTCTAACTGTATAACGAGGCAAAATTGATAAATTTTCGGCATTTCGTACTGAAATTGTTGGCTTTTAAGCGCGAAAACAACTTTAACACTCCAGTATGCACTAGATTATGTTGACGTGATGACACCGTACAGTATTGACAGTTGGGCGGAGCCAGGAGGCAGACAGCGTCATTGTACAGTTCTTCTGCCGCCTTCTGTGGCGATGAAGAAGGTAGCCAGAGAAGGGGTGTGTTAACGACGTCGGTTTCGTGCCCCCCCCCCCATGCAAGAAGTCCCGAGCGTCTTTAATGACAATGAAAATACAAAATCCTTTCCCTGTAAGTTAAGGCTTGTAGTCCTGTTCTTGTCTTGGCCAAGTGTGACCCAACCCAACAACCTTGGCGCAGCCATGCATATCCTCTAAGCTGGGACGTTTACCTTCCCTTTCGCCCCCCCCCCAACTTGAAACCAAACCATAGTCGAAATTATTCTTCAACGCTCTCATTCAGGAACAAATCACACGCATTCTCTTCGAACGATTGGTAGCTTTGCGTCCACATCCGTGGGGTTTGCTCATCACGTTCATCGAACTAATCAAAAATCCCGTCTACAACTTCTGGAAGTACGAGTTCACCCGGTGCGCTCCTGAAATTGAGCGGTGAGTTATGCTTTTCAGTCTTACCCCGAAAAGCAATCTTGCGCTGAAGGCGCTGGGGCGTGTCGGCGAGGGTGGATTTGGCGCTTCACCAGCCCGTTTTTCACAAATTGTTGAGGCGAACAATCGACGATAACTGGTGGGAAACGGGTTGGCGCGGAGACAATCTCAGCCCTCTGGCCCTGCGCAGTTTCAGCAAGAACCACTACTCAAGGCTGCGTTCATACTTTGCGGCAGCCCACCAGCGGCTAGGAAAGCGTAGATGTCAATCTAACGTCCATCAGCGCTTGCCAGCGTCCACCAGCGTCCAGGGTGGGGTATGGGAAGTAGGAGGGTAGCACGCAGCGGGACTAGGCGACGTGAAATTGCGGCGTTGTTGCTAACCGCCTCCGCTCAACTCCCGTACATCAAGATTGCATAATTCTGTGCTTCAGCCGTTGTACGGTACGGTTGCACGATTTCCTCAATTTCACGACGCCTAATCCAGCTGTCTGTTACCCTCGTACTTTCTCATACTCTCTACTCCTGGACGCTGGCAAACACTGGTGGACGCTGCCGCTAAGTATGGACGCTGCCTAACGTTTCCCAATCAACGAGATTCGTTTTCAGATTATTTCAAAATGTTGCGAACACGTGCGTTACGGCACGACCAGCTGATTCAGAAGCGAGCAAGGCTTGAAAGCCGCAAGTGTGATGTGCTGGCATTAGTCATTTTCTTCAAAATTTTTCTCATTATCCTTCAAACCACATTCATTTGTTCGCCAAAAAGCGATATCCCTTGTGGGGGCAGGGGAAATCGTGATTAAGTAAGTGAACGAGTAAAAGTAAAACTTCTAACATCAGTCAAGCACTCACCCGTTGATAGTCCCAAAATGTACATGTTGGTGGTAGTCTATTATTGTGTATTTTACACCATTCAGCACCATCCACACACGCATATTGTGTGTAGTTGGGGGGTGTAGGCAGTCAATAAATCGACGTGTATTTTGGCCTCAAATCATTATACATTCGCTTCTGGTTGACTGTGAATGTCGTCGTTTATTCGTGTATAGAAATATTTGAGTGTCTCAAACAAATTTTGTGTGTGTATGGATTAAGTTTGATATGGTTTTGTTGTATCTCACTGTTTTTCATCCATTTTTTTTCTTGTTGTTTGGTGTGTTTATAATTTGTTCATATAGCAGATTAACTATATTGAGCATAAGATCTTTTAAACGCTTAGTCAACACGTTAACATACAAGGGGCGAAGGGAGAGGTGGCAAATCGTGGTGGTCCGTAAATGTTACAAACAGGCGCGCGGTCGCGAAGCGGTCTAAGAGGAACTCGGAGCTGTGAGCACTGCTGCTTTCTACCTTAGATAAAGGTTCATGGCGCGATTTCGCAACGAAACCGCTATGCTGTCTGGACTGGTAAGTAGGGGCTCTACACGTAATAGGACATA